AACACTGTGGCCTATGTACTGCATGAGTGTTATGGGTATTACAAATATACAGGTGAACATACTGTACATGTGCAAAGAGCAAAAATGAGGCTACATGAATACTGTGTTATATATAAGAGTGAGCGGCTGAGTGGAGACAGAGAGAGAAAGAGGCAAAAGGAGAAACTGTGTTGTCCTATGATGAAAGGCTTGATTGATTAGAGAGTGATGATTGCAGTAAATGACCTGGAAGATGGCTCCATCTCTGTTTCCCGTTTTCTCTGTCTCTTATACCTTCTTCCCTCACTCACTTGCTTTCTCACTTACACCTCTCTCTCTCTCTCTCCATACCTCTTATTGTCAGCCCCACTCCCTGGTTTCATCACGGCAACCCATCAGAGTGCCCTCTCTCCCCCCTAATGGTACAGCTATTAGCACTAATGCATTTCAAACGTACAGCAGCTGCCACATCACAATCTGATGGAAAGAATGTCTTCCTCCAATCTCCAAATTCTCTGTCCTTTCTTTCATCCGGTCTTGTGCCCTGTCCTGATATACTGCACTGTGTCAGCCCTCCTTAAGTTGAACAACAGTGTTGATCATTATCAGCCTCTATAGAGTGGTCCAACAAATAGATTATGATAATATATTTTGAATTAGAAAGTTAGCTTAAAATGATCCAGACTTGAGATAATGTACAGCCTTGTAAACCAGTGTTCTGTTGTTGCAGATAGCTCAACTATTTTAGCTAGTTAGCCAACTACCTAATATAATAAAGCAACAATATTTGAGAGAGTCAAAAGGTTGTAAAAGGTTTTGACATGTCGCTAGCTTAAAATGTCACAAGTATAACTACTGCTGCAGCATTGATTTTAATTTCTTACTTTAGAAGATAGCAGCCAGTGTCAATGCAACTGTATGGCACTGCTCCTAATGTTTGGAACTATCCAACATTCCCATGATGCATCATTACTGTTAAAAAATGGTGCTTATAAAGTCGATGGTGATGTGGTCATACTCAATCCTCTCTGATTCAGACAACATTATGAAACAGAAAGGAAGCACCTGAGTTTTATTTCTAGAAAAAGGTCAAACTCCTCCACTATAAAAAAAGGTCCTGATAATACATAACTCAAGTTAACACTGGAGAATTGATATCTTCAAATACATCATGCAATTATAACGCCACTCTATAATGACATTACAGATGTCACCAAGCTGTTTTATCATATAATAGCTCAACAGGAGTCATTAGACATTGCTACAATTTATATGACTACTGAAAACTTTTATTTCTGATATCAAATTACATTTCAGCTACTCAAAATGTTCATTTGCCACAATATATAAAATTGCCATAAAACTGGTTTATGGTGCACAAGCCTAATCTGGTGTAATTCAGTCCACACCATCTCTACCACAAAACTACACTGCTAAAAAACATACTGTAGCAACTCTCACCATGAATACCCAGCAGCATCGACTGGTGCACTGAAACAAAAGTAACAAAAGTAACATCTAAAGAAATAAACAGTAGCTGCAAGTGGCTTAACATCATCTGACCTATCTGAATACCTGTGCTAGAAGAGTAAACTTCATTTTAGCACTTAACCAGCCTGGGTTTTGTCCCGAGTCTCGACTCAGAAGCTGAACAGTGACTTTAGCAGGGCTCCCTACTCTCTTGGTTGACAAGCAACCAATCAGTAAGGCCTTGATTTATTAAAGCACCGCTTGATGACTTTTTGTCATTTTCATGGTCTTTGTGAGGGAACAAGAAATTAATCAACAGTTATTAATTGAAAATGAACAATTCTGGCATGTCAGCAAAATCCACAGCTCTACAATTAAAAAAACTACTTGATTAGTCAAAGAAATACTATAAATATCAGTTAACGATAGAACCAACCTGTATCAGCTGAATATAGCCCTAGGTTCTTTTCTTATTCAGGTGTAAATGTAGTTTTAAAAAACCCACGAACATTGGTATTGGTGTTCCAATAGGAAAACGGTTTAAAGCAGTACATCTCTAACAACATTTTGAACTGACACACACCCAGGTTATATCACTCAGTTCGAATGTGTTTGACTTTCTTTATGGAAAATCAACATTTAAATCACTTCCTAAACATTGTTATGCACACACTCAGAGTGGGTCAGAGCTGTACGACCTAGGCCTGTTTCCTGATTTCCTGAATAGATTTCTGATGAAATCCAGAGGGGCTTGATGATAGTGCTCGGCTTCCTTGCTGCCAATTCTCTGCTTACAAAACAAAACAGAGTTCTGACATTTGGCTCTAAAGTCGCTGTTTCTCCCTCATCCCTATGAGAATCACAAAGCAGCCTCAAAATGACTGTGTCGCATTGGGATGACTCTGCTGCTAACACAATAGTCGAGCGTCACAGAGGGGTGGGAACCTGACCTTGAGAAATCGGTGGCAATTCACCACTTTAATGTCTATTTCACACACCATTTCATTCTGATGGATTTAAAACCCTGAACGACCATCACAACAGTTGTTACGATCAACATTTTGACATCCATAATGTCTGGCAGTGGTCAGAAAAGTGGCTTTGCAGTTAGACCAGGAAAGGGCTTGAATATGTGTACGCATGTGCATGTGAGGAACAGTGGGGTCCTCCCATTGCTCCGGTAACAGCTGCGATGGCAGCCGCTATGAGGGAACAGGCACACCATTGAGTTTCTGTGATGTCACCAATTTGACGAGGCAGGCAGATGGGCTGGGCCAGGTATAGAACCTGCCATTAATAAACACATATAAAAACTCAGTGGCCAGCAAACAGAAAAAACATTATGCATTTACAGCGCCCCACCCCCCAAACGACACACACACACAGAAACACAAATTTAATCAAAACGCACCGTCTCTCATGCATAAACACCTTTTCTCTTCATTTGACAGACTTCTCCACCCACTAGTTTAAGATGCAACACATTTCTCCTAATATGCCCAGAGAGCATGCAGCCCTAATCTAATTAGAGTGTCAGTCAGCAGAGTGTTCACCCAAAGAGAAATTAGGAAAGCACAAAATCTACAAACGGGAAAAATCTTCTTGCTATGATGTGGCATATCTACCTCTCCCCCTCCTCCTCTTCACCCCCCTCCACCTCTTTATGAGATTTTTTTAATGGTTTCACAGTCTCCCCTGCTGAGATTCATTACCTGGCCTAATTATAAAGGCAAATGAAATCAGCTCCAATACATTATTAATAAAGGAGCACCATTAAGATTCATTTGCAGTACATGCAACAATATGATATATTCCAACTGTTTTCATGCCTGATTAAAGACATACACAGATTAGAAAAAAATGTATATGATTGTGATGGAGGAGAAAGTAACGGTAGGAATGAGGCTGGTGACTGGACAGGAAGAGAAAAGGAGAAAGAGCAGAGGTAGAGGGAGAGCAACATTTAGAGAAGGCAGGTGGATTAAAGAGAGTGCTGGCTTTTCCACTTGACGAGCTATTGGAGCCATACTGGATGCAGCTCCTTATGAACAGGTGTGCTGTGTGTGGTCACCGTGACCCAGCCTCCACTTCCTGCATGGCTACACATCCGATTGAGGTGCATCAGAGCTGGGCAGGGAGAGGCAGACATCAAGCCCACTCAGGCCTAAGATGAAAGGACAGCCGCAGTGCAGCTCCTTCCCCTCAGACCAGCAGGGAAGGAGGGGTGAGGCCCAGTTACCCCAAGACTACAGCTTCAGAGTGTAAGCAACCATGAATAAAAATGGACTTTGTTGAGAAGTAGGCCTCATAATTATTCATTTTAAATCAGTTAAAGCCTTTTGTCAAATATCCCCCAGGAGGCACGGGGTTAAAAATCCATTTGTGGGAAGTATACCATGACAGTGAGCTCATCTTCCTAGAGACAGAGGATATGACAGCAGGGAATATGCATGTGTATCTGTCGGGTGAGGCTATATATAAAGTATACAACAAAGTGAAAATCCCCTGGTCAGCATGACTAAAATGTTAAGTACTTACAAATCCTGCACAATTCATACAATTTTATTTGTTTTTGACTTCTCTGTTATGCAGTCTCACACTCTGCGTTCTTATTCAGGCAGTTCCTTACCATGTAGAGCCATGCTGCATTAGATACAACCCAGGCCAAAGGTGAGAAAGCTGTGCTGTTTACAGGTTATTTGATAACCTCTTTCATGCAGTTAGCCTTAATTGGAAACCACAGGCACAAACTCTTCGGTAGCAGTAACCACAGATAAACTGAATTTTGTTGCAGCTGTCAAAGGTGTACTCACTGTTGTTGTACTGAAGTTGTTCTTTGAGGCTGGTATTGTCAGTGTAGTGCTGCATACTGTATCTCACCTGTTGTTGTAATTATTCATAAGAACAAATGCCCTACACTTTAAATTAAAACTAATACAATTATTGTAAGATGGCACAATTATGAATCATTTAACATTTTAGTGATATTGCACAGGGGCGTACTCAGCTTTGTTGTATACTTTGTGCATGTGTGCATCAGTATGCATGCACGTTTGTGGGGCATTTGAGTACTCGCAAATTGGAGAGTCAGTGGAGCATGCTGGATCACAAACACACAGACAAATACACAAACCAAAGTGATACCATTTCTCCTTTTTTTAGATTTCGAGAGCGGATCTAGTGTTTTAAAGGTCAGCTGCAAGAGAATGCTGTGTTCAATTTGCTGTGGCCTGTGAAACAAAACAAATCTCTTAAATAATACTAAAGACCTCAAAATAACAAACCCCCAAAGTAAGCAATTATATTGTGTGTGCATACCCGTGTACACTGCATTTGTGTATGTTTTTATTTCTCTGCATAGTCTCTGTGATGCTGATCACATTGTCATTAAAGGGCTATAAGTCAAACAACTAAATTGAGGGGGAAACAGGAAAAGAGATGCGAATGGTCAGATAACAGGAATATTAACCAGTTTGCCTGGGAAAAGGAAAAAAGGTGAGAAAAGAAGAGTCTTTGGAGAAGGAAGGAGGAAAGTGGGTGTCCTACTTTACCGTCACACCGTCTTGCCATACATGCTCCTTCTGAAGCTGCTCTGCCTCCCTGGCCAGTTTCTACAAGGAAGCACAAAAACAGCAGTGTGAGTGTCAGAAGCCAGTAGGACAGTGATTTGTGTACATGTGTGCGTCTGCACGTGTGAGCGACAGACAGGCAGGCAGATGGGGATGGTGACCTTGTCCTCTGCTAAAGTCAGTACAGCTGTAAATTAACTGGTTAATTCAGAGGTTGAGAGCACGTTAAACCCAACAACATGTTCCTTAAAAAAAAAACATCAGCTTAACAATTTATTAAAGCTATTTGAAGCTGTAAGTTGTTTATCAAAACCGATCTACTGGAGGCATTATCTTTAAAAACACTGACATACTGATAACTTACATATTCTCAAACAGGAAAGTAAGAGAATTTTTATTAATATAAATTCAAAATGAAATTAAGGGAATTTGCACGGTGAGAGACCATGTATTGAAAGTGCTGTTACAAATTGATGAGGTGATCATATGTGTATTTGTCTGACTGACAGCTGAGCTGGCAGGAGGTATAAGACTCAATGAAAACACACTTGCTCTAGCAACAAGCCAAGGCACAGACCTTCATCATCAGTGGTAGTGGGACAGATCTACACCAGGCCAAATCTATACTGAGCTCGGCATTAACAGGCTTGTTTTTAGAGGATCAGGTCGGTCATTTTCTATTTTCAACACACAGCATACAGAGACTAAAACCGATAATGATTTGTCCGTCGGCGTGTCAGTCTGGGATCAGCTTATTTGTCTGTGTCATGGACCTCTGTTGTAGTTCAAAAACTATTAAAAACACATCAGTGAAACCTACCACTGCACTGGGTGACATGTTTCTCCATTATGAATCGTCTTTGAACAGCAACAGAGGTCCACAGATGAATAAGCTGAATCAGGTTGGAGACTGACATATTAACTGAGTTGGTTTTAGTCTCTATATGAGAAATGGTGAAAATACTATTAATATAGGAAATGAAAGACCTTATCCTTTAAGCTCTGTGCACTTTTCCTAGTGGATGTTTATTTGCCCTTGCTTGTAGATTAGTAGACACTAGCCTTAAAGGCAGTGTAGCTATTGTTGAGTTATAAAATTATAGTTTGATATACATGGTTGTATTGAATTTATGTTGGCAGGTCTACACACCATGAGCTGTAAAGAAAATTCAATGTGTACGTTAATTCTTTGATACATATGATACACAGATGCACACGTTTTCACTTTTTGATGATAACAAAAGAAAGTTCTCCATCCTCACAGCCAGATAAACGCCACACTGATGAGGACACCTTGATGAGACCAACAAAAAAAAGCGACTTTCCTTGTGTTGGTTGCCTTTTTCACCCCAACACAGAGGAGACATGCTAATCAGTTTACAGAGCAGATGTCAATAATATCACAAAAGTATCTTTTACCCTCCCGTGCCTCACTATCTAGGTTTCCCAGGTCTCTAGGGGGTGATCTCGTTCCTACCCCAGAACAGTCTGATCAGCCAGTCCCATGGCTCTAACCATATTTAGAAGTGTGACACAGTAAAAGCTCATTCATTTGTGGAGCCACACTGAAGGCCCCCACTCACCTGCCACAGGAGGATTTTTATCTATCAAAGCATGCAAGACAAAAAAAAAAGGACTTATTATTGTAAAGCTGTCCTATTTCTATTAAGTACCCCCCACCCACCTCATCTCACCAGACCATCCCACTCAAAGCCACAGACAAAATACTGCTCCACCTCTTCTCAAACCCACTAGGCAGAAAATGTCAGTTCAGGCTCATATAGGACGTGCACGGTGTAATAAACTAACCTAATTTGTGGCACATAACAAAAAATCCAGATCATTTTCACTCATGCATCTGCATCATGCTTTAATCACCTGAACATGTCCTAAATAACAACAATAAGATTTCCTAATGAGACAATAAGGAGTTGAAACAGTGAAATGTGGACCTTAATTAGCCAATCAAAATTATTACCAGAGTCCACTGGAAAAAATACTGTGTGGCTTCTGTCGGCCTTGCTAAAGAGCTATGTGATAGAGAAAGTCTCTTGATGAAACTATCAATACTAATTTTTTTTTTTCAATTACGGATAAGCACAGAGCAGCAGAAGAATAATCCCAGTTCTGAGATTAGCCTGAAAATTACTCTCTTTTGATGTAACTCTCTTTTGGGGAGCAAGTTGCATTTTCAGAATTGTTTCTATCCTTTTTTTCCCCTCAACTCTTTGTCATGATCTATGATCTAGCTACTGTACCCTTTCATCCCCTTGGCTCAGGCTTTTTCTCAGCATTTAATCTGTCAGTAAGAATCTCTACTTTGTCCCTTTAGAAAATCCATTTCTCTCCCCACACATACACATTTTTTTCCAGCTCTGTTTCCTTAGCTGCCTGTCTCCTAGTTGTTTTCCTCCCTCTACCCCTACTAGGCCACCATTTCTCTGGGACTTCTCTCCTCCGTAGCTTAATACAGTCCCCTTGCTCCAAAACAGTCATGTGTCTTTCCTTCTTCAGTGTTGGCCGAGATGGATGGGTGACACAAACAGCCGATGAATCAGAGTGAGAGATGTGGGAAGGAGGGGGGTTAAGAATATATCATCTATGCTGGTGGCTGGAGCCCAAGGAGCTTGGAGCACTGGATGAGCATAGTGAGATCAGCACAGTAAAGCACAGATAAGCTCGCAACAGGCCAACAGCAAATAACACTACAGCATACACGCAGAAAGACAACATAAGCACGACCCTCTAATGTTAATGCCACTGTAACCTTGACACAAAATGCATCACGTTAGGTCATTTGTCACAGAGCCTTCAGGCAAGGTCGAGAACCATAAACACCAGCCTGTAATGGATAGTGGTAAAAAGTGTCTCCACAAGGTCTCCAGCCTTAAACAACACACGATGGTCATGTTATGGTCACGTCTGTCATGTATGCAAACACTGTAGGTGACAGCGTATTGTCGAAGCAACCAACGAGCACGCCGTGGAGCTTGGTGAAGTCTCTGCTGTCCAAGAACCCTGCAGGTGAAAAACCAAGCTCCCTCAGTGTGAACTCGGAGCAAGAAGGCAGCAGGAAAAAAAGAACAACAAAAAGCTCTGCGTGAGGCGATTAGGATCTTTAACTGTTCAGTTTGCTCTTTTCCAGAGGGGAGCACTTTAATCACTCAAAGTCTTGTTATTTCTAGGGAAATAGCAGCACACCAGGGACAGACAGCGTCATGCTGTGGTGAGCGCCAACTCGACACTGGGCCGCCTGTGTGATTGCTGCAGCCTGTTAGGCCCTTCTAATGAGCATTAACTTAAAGGGTACTCGACACACAACGTTGTCGTCTGTGTGATCTGGAGGGACACTCCAAGTCAGCCCTACAATGTGTGTGTTTGAGTGAGAGGGTACTTGAGAAAACCTGACATGGTCTGTACATGTGATTGCAGCCTTGAATCGAGGTACTCAACGTGTTCCAAATGACCCCCTCAGCTTGATTTCTGGGAACGCTTAAGTCACCTTGGGGACCAAAACACTGTGAAATTACTCTACAGAGGTCACTTAACCTTCTCAGACTGACTAGCAAGGCGAGGGAAGGCCCTCAGTCAATTTTGCAATAACTGGTTGCTGTGAACAGTGACAATAATAATGGTAAGCCAGAAAGCTCTTTTACAAAAAGACATCTCAGTACAGAACAGCTTTCTTAAGAGTCCTTCCCACATTGTTGAATTAAATATCCAGACGGGGCATCACTAGAAACTACATCTTCACTTTATCTACGGACATATCATCCATCTTTTGTTTACCTAGAGACAGCGTAAAGGACATGATATGTCTGTGGGCAGTATTTCTTCCATGTTGTCTGGTGATATAAAAGGACATAATCAACACAGAAATCGCAAGGTGCATTAAACTTTGAGTGACAAAAGTGTGTCATGTGACTGACAAATTTATGTTATATTAAAATGTAACTACTGTGTCATGGTCTTAAGAGCTACTCGATTTGGTGGAGCTGTATGGAGATGTGCTGTGCAACAGTTAGTCCATTAGGGGGCAGCAGACGAGGGTCCGGTGAGCTCCAGCAGCAGCCGAGCCTGTCAGAGTGAGAGCAGTCTGCTGTAAGCTCTTCATTCTGTCTTCTCCACTCGGCCAGGATTAAGGCCAATCATAGAAATCACTGAGTCAGAACCACCCCACAATAACACAAGGAGGGACTCTCCACTCCAGAATTTTAAAACACCACAAACTCACTCACTTCTCCTCACACCCTCGCTACCATCTCCCACCACCACCTTTCATTCTTGCACCATCCTTTTATCTCTCCTCTTGGCTCGGCTGTTTTATCCTGCCATCACAGGCTGTACTCCATTTCTCTCCATCTGTCTCAGTTTACTGCCCTCCAACGTCCTCCCTCCTCTAACGCCATATTAATTCCAGCAGCACAGTCACAAACCAACTTCACAACAATTTAATTGACTTCATAGAGCACAGAACTCATCAGCAAAGCAGGGTGAAATAGAAAAAAGCTTGAAAACATACGACGCTTTTATTGCTTGCATTATTACACTTCACTCTCAGTGGAGTGACTGAAATGACATCCCATCCCATTTCAAGTTCCAGTCACAAAGAGTTGGGAGGAGTGCAGCGGCGATGCGAATAGATTCTCCTCTTGTTGTTCTTGCCAAACAATGTAAATGTCCATAATGAGGAGAAATAATGACTCTTAATTAGAGGTCCCTTGTTGGTTTGCTACTGGCACATGGTTACTGTAGTCCTTATTAGCTAACTCTGACAGAGGATCTGCATGGATGGGTGGGTGAACGTCTTTATTCTGTGATCCAAAGCGCCCTGCAGCAGGCCCATTTGCAGGGGCTGTGTGTGCAGTGCTATTGTAGCATGTGCTGAGATAATCCCTGCCTTTGTACCCCCCACCCATAATCTTCCCCCTCAACAATAGAAATGTTAACACTTCCTTTTGCATTTCCCCATTCAGAGACAAATTCCCAACTCCAGTCTGCTGTTTCCACGGAGACCAGACTGAGAAGATGCGAGCTGTCAC